TGTGCATTAGTGTAGGAGACAATTTTTGGTCCAAACCCGTTTCAAAGAAAGGTGTAGCCTTATATTTTGTTATTGATTCATTGACATCATAAGAACCTTAGCTAAATCTTTTGATGCTTGGTAGCGCCTGACATTTCCATTCTCTCGACGTTTGAGTTATGTGATGAAATTTAATTTCTGGGATAATCTTTACTGGTTTGAATTTGTCATTAGTTCTTAGTTGGTGATCCGTCTTACAGAGGTTATAAATGAAGCTAATGGAATTAACTAAAGGCAAAAGTAATGTTGATTGATAAACTCTTAAAGTAATAAGTGTAATAGTGGATTGTATTGCAACTTACAATGTATTACACTAATTTGGTTGCGTAAAATGAAATGTGTTACCGAGCCATTGGGACTGACGGTTTTTCTTTGAGAGATCAGAGGCATTTATCGTTAATGTTCTTCAATATTTGCCTACCGTACTAAAAGTAAATAAAGTGATGTTTGATACGGCCTTCTTTTTTATGGAATTACTTTCGTATTTTCACTATAATAATTAAGGATCCATTCGTTTTGTTATTTTGGTAGGATTTTGAAAAAATTATGTAGTTGTAGATAGAGTGAGTATTACGAGATAAAATTTAAAAATCACAAAAAAACCTCTAGGTTTGCTAATTTAACTAAACATCCTAATATAAAAAATTTGTAAAATAAGGAAAACACCCCCACCTACCCACAGTGCCAGATTCCGGCCACCACCGTTAGAATCTGGCCAGAAAATGGCGTTACGACATAAACCGAGGATCTGGCCGGTGTGCGTGATATGACCTTTTCAGTCAGATCTTGCGTTCAACGATCGCAAAAGGCCAGATTTGGCCGTCAGATCTGGCTTTTTCCTGTCAGATCAGTGTAGATCTGACCAGAAAAGGCCATATCGGTGAATTACGATCATTTCGATCGTTTCTACGACGTGTGAGATTCCGAAATCTGGCAACTAAGTGGGTGGGGGTGTTTTGTTAATTTTAAACTTTTTTTTCTAAGGGGTGTTTAATTAAATTAATATACTTAAGGTTTAAAAGTAATTAAAAAAATGAAATGTATTTCTCAAATAATAAAACAAACAAATATTTTGGGAATAGGATGGGAATATGGATAGGAATAATAAAACAAACGGAGCCTAATGTCACGCACTTAACTTCTTTGCTAAGTTCGTGCGGCCTTAACTCGCAAAATGAGTAAGCAGCCTAAGCCTCACACAAAACTCACAAGCTAAAGATGTAAATGAGAGAGAAGTATAGAGAAAATATAAATCTTGTTATTGCTGGAATTCAGTTATGAACTTTACATGGTGGAGTTGCCTATTTAGGCTCAAACTCCTCAAATGAATATGGACTAAGCTACATGGGTGTCGAGCATTGGTGCAGCCTTGAAACGAAGCTCGTGGGTAGCGAGCATTGGAGCAACCTGGAAACGAAGGTGCTTAGTCGCCGAACCTAGTTGCTGAGTCGTTAACTTAGCCTAAGTTAACTTAGCTCTTAAGTTTGCTTCCCTGAAGTATACTTAATCAGTAAGTAACGTGCAGCATGCTTGGGCAAGCAGGCTGGTGTGACATTCTCCCGCACCTAATGCTGCGACGCCCTCGTCGCACTATTCTACTTGTAATTGTGCGGTTGTGAATTCATTTCAGTTGAATTGTGCTACAAATAAACGTCAATCTGTTTTCTTTTTTCTTCCATAAACGTGGTGAAGACAGCAAACATATAATAGAATATGAAAGAGTATCATTTGGAAATTAATGAGAGAAAGAGATAGGAAGAAAACATAATCCGAGTACGATAGTGAAGGGGAAATTTCTTATTCTCTATGAAAAAGTCTCAAAAGCATCACGTTGCAAATCTCAGAAGGACCACTTTTCAGCTTTTTAGTTAATTGAAAATTTCTTCAGTTGGTTGTGTGTGAAATCATGAGACAGAACAAGTGCTACAAATTGTGAAGTCTCTGCATGATGTTGAAAAAAGACTAATATTAATAAAGTAAATGAATGTTTCAAATACTGAAATACAAATCTTAATTTTATTGGTTTAGGGAATCAATAATTTCAATTCGATAGGGACTCTTGGATATATACTACTCAAGAGATCCTGAGTTTTAGATATATACTACTCAAGAGATCCTGAGTTTTGGATATATGCTACTCAAGAGATCCTGAGTTTGAGTCCCTCCTCGGTTACTAACCTAGTTAGTAAATACGGATACGGCAAAAAAGGGGTACGAGAATTTTATGGATATGATACGGTAAATGATGAAAAAATACGTTTGTAAAAATTCGGTCATAAAATTCGGATACGGAAAAAATACGGTGCGGGTATATACGAGTTTAATACGGCACATTATCAATAATACGTTTTAAAAAATATGGCAATATCAATCATAGTTTTAGCACTTTTCATGGATCATTTGGTTAAAATCTATATAACATTTCAAATATACAGGTACGACAAAAAAAGGATACGAGAATTTTATGGGTATGATACGGCAAACAATGAAAAATACGGGAATCATTAACGAATAATATAGTCGAGGCATATAATTTGTGAATAATACGGCTGGATTGATAAAATATGGCAGTTCACAATAATACACAAATTATACGGCTGGGTGTATAATTCATGCATAACGCGTGAATTTACTAACTAGGGTTACTAATAGGGGTAAGTTCGATAGGAACTTTTGGGTGTATTACTACTCAAGAGATTTTGAGTTCGAGTCAATCCTCAGTTACTAATAGGGGTAGTCACTGAAGTTCTTACCTGGCCAATAATTCCAGGTCTCAGACTCTCAGAGAATTAGTTGAGATATGCGAAAGTTATATGGACACACCTGATCATAAAAAAAAAAAAAAAAAAAAAAACAATAATTTCATACATGATTATTCTTAATACAAACTTGTCAACTATTAAACTAACTATTAAACTAATATTTCACATTAAATCAATTATTGATTACAAAATTACGCTAAAAAGTTGTGGTACATTAATGGTTTGACCAATATATGAATTTATAGTGTTTTTTAAATTTTTTGAATATATCAACTTTAATGCAATTGTTTTACGAATAATGTATAAAGTATAAAAATCAATATCATGGCATACTGCGATTTTTTTATATACATGCAACCGTTCTACCTTGGTCCTGTAGAATTTCTACTAATGCAATCTAGTATTTATACATACCTCAATTTACTTATAGAGTCAATTGAATTAATTTTGTGATGTGAATATTTATGAATAATTACTAATTATATCCGTAGTATTTACTATTTAGAATATGAAAAAAAAAAAAAAAAAGTATTATAATGTAGAGTTAGATTGACCCCTAAGCTTTGATTCAATAGCAAAAATTTACTGTTATTAGGTTTTAGGTATTAAAATAAAAAGAAAATTACTTTTTTGCACCCAAATAATGGTTTAATGACACTTTCCCATTCATAAACTTTTAAAATATTACTTTATTATCTAAATTTATATTTTGTTTTCGATTCCAACATTGTTACAACCCCATACCATCACCATTCTCTTCTCCGATCATTACTCACCAAAACCCCTCAAACCCTACTCCCACCGACCCCAGCAATCACCAAAAATCGAGTAATTAGGGTTTGCGCAACTGCCTCTCCCAAGTCAAATTCCTATCAATCCCAACCACCAAAAGACTCATCGACCTCCTATCTTCAAAAATCCTAATAGTCTAGACCGAGTTTGATCTCATTTTTCTGTCGGAATATAAATTTGGATAGTAAAGTAGTATTTTAAAAGTCTGTGTGTAGGAAAGTGTCATTAAACCATTATTTGGGGGGAAAAAAGTCGTTAACTCTAAAATAAATAAGGAGAACACTTCCATAAATACTCAATAACTCACAATAGTGTAAGTTCTAAGAGCTTATTAATGGTTTCACTAACACCATGAGGATTTTTGTTTTTTTTTTAAATGTCTCTGTTATCGAATCAAATCTCAGGGTTTTAACATTATAATATATAAATTTATTAATTAATGTAGATTGGAGATAGCAAGAAAGCCCAAACCATAAATTGGGCCCATGCCCCCAAATCGGAGTTGGACCTTACAATAAACCCAAAAGCTTATTCAACTAGGCTTTATTTTATATAATATCAGAGTAAATTATTAATTTTATATTTTTTTGTAAATTATAATAGCAATTAATTCAAAATGAAACTAGGGGCGGAATGGCCAGGTTCTCGGGTAGCAAAAACCGAAGACTAAAGTTGGAATTGAACCCGGTGTTTGGAAACGAACCCCACGGGCTTTGTCATAAAATTTTAATATTATTCCATAGTTTTGCTACATCAATGTCATCGATCTTTTAGTCTTTTTCTAAGTCTATAACCCAATATTTTCCATAAATCGGTTAAATAAGTCTACTCTATTACGCCCCCACTAATGAAAGTCTCAGTAATATATCATATATTATATTACCCCCCATATCTCTATAATTAAAATATGTCACATTTGCTTTAAATAACACTAGTGGATTGAAGAGAAAATAAATAAATTCATAGACATAGTTTTTATCAGATAATTATATGTTGTCTAACTCTTTTTTTTTCCTCCTTTAGGCCATAATTATACTGTACATACAGCATACAGCTAATAAAACTCCGCGTTTTTGTTGAGCAACACACCGGTTTCCTTCCAACTATCAACCAAACTGAAATGAAAAACCGATAAAACTAACAGGGCAAGGACAAAAGGAAGTAACATTCTTGATTAACGAAGTCAAATTCAAAGTTATATCCCGTCTGTAATCCGCTAATATTGCCTCCATTTCTTTAATAATTATCTGATATTTATATAGTAAAGTCAAGTTTTGAACCATTGAAATAGTAGACCATGCAATTCTTTACGTTTAAAATCACTGATCGCAACGTTTAACCTTATTTAATTCAATGAGTTGTGTAGCCGTCTCCCCATATAAATCCTTGATTTATATCTCCTCATTCAACAAATTACGCCCCATTTGAACTTCATCTATGGCATCTCCTTGTCAGAATTTCGCCCTTTGGGCCATCAATATCATCACCATCTTATTCTTGCTCTCTCTACCTTCTTCCCAAGCTTCCAATTCTCCTCCATCCGTACAAAATTCCAGACTCTCCAACGCTTACAAAGCCCTCCAAGCTTGGAAACATGCCATTTCCTCTGACCCTCTAAATTTCACCGGCAACTGGTGCGGCCCTGAGGTCTGCAACTATACCGGTGTTTATTGTGCGCCTGCCCCGGATGATCCGGGCACTTTTACGGTTGCCGGAATAGACCTGAACCATGCAAACATTTCAGGATATTTGCCTAAAGAGCTTGGCCTCCTTACGGACCTCTCTCTCTTCCACATAAACTCTAATCGCTTTTGTGGTTCAGTTCCTGATTCGTTCCGTAATATGAAGCTTCTTTATGAGCTTGATATTAGCAATAACCAATTCGCCGGTCAGTTTCCTTCGGTTCTTCTTTGTTTACCTTCACTCAGGTTTCTTGATATCCGATTCAATGAATTCCAAGGTGATGTCCCCTCAAAACTCTTTGATTTAAAACTTGATGCCTTGTTTATCAACAGCAACAAGTTCCGAACATCCATACCGGAAAACATTGGTAATTCTACTGTTTCTGTTATCGTCTTAGCAAATAATGACTTCAGTGGGACTGGCTGCATACCCTCCAGTCTGACGAAAATGGCGCAGACTCTTCAAGAGATTTTGTTCATTAACATGGGATTGACTGGTTGTTTGCCGGAAGATGTCGGGTTGTTAAAGGAAGTGACAGTGTTTGATGTTAGTTTCAACGGGTTGGTTGGCTTTTTACCAGAGTCCATGGGGGAAATGAAGAATTTGAAGCAGCTAAATGTGGCTCATAATAAATTTTCTGGTCAAATTCCTGAGAGTATTTGCTCACTGCCAAACTTGGAGAATTTCACATTCTCTGATAATTACTTCTGCAGTGAGTCAACGTGTCTCAAATTACCAGCTAAAAATGACACGAAGAATTGTATTCCTGACAGGCCACTTCAACGATCACCTGAAGAATGTAAGTCATTTTATGCCTATCCTGTCGATTGTGGCGCCTTTGGTTGCTCATCCAGAAGTCCTCCACCACCACCACCTCCACCACCTCCACCTCCACCTCCTCCACCTCCACCTCCACCTCCACCTCCACCTCCTCCGCCTCCACCACCTCCACCTCCACCACCTCCACCTCCACCTCCACCACCTCCGCCTCCACCACCACCGCCAAAGAAGTATCCACCACCTCCGCCTCCACCACCACCGCCAAAGGAGTGTTCACCACCACCCTCGCCAGTGAAACATTATCCATGATCAGACACAGAGAGATATATATAGGAGAAATATATAGTTCTGTTTTTGTTAATTTATTACTTCCCAAATTAAATTGAATAACCAGTCTGTAATGTATTGTATAATTCTGGGTTTGGAGATGAAAGTTTCAGCGAGGTTTCTGTCCAATGATGATTACTTGTTGAATTTTTTTTTGAGACTGTCATGTCAGTTATACCTACCCATGCATGTCATATTCACTCACGGATTAAATAGCAATTATATAAACCTTAATAGAACAGTCCTGGATCCTGCTTATCACAATTATGAAATCAGATAAAAATTCAAAGCCAATTAATCAATTTTTTAATTTAATTAACTACTGGCCAAACATTAACGTACGTCGTCTTCTAATCTATTGACGGAATTATCAATTATTAGATAAAAAATAAAAACATAGAAATAGGTTATGACAAAATGATTATTAGATAATGGTAATTATCTCTCGGTAACCGAATGGTTCGATTTCAAGAAGCCTTGAGTTCGAATACCTCTTCAGTTGTCAATGGAAATAGCTATTAAAACTCTTACCTGATCAATAACTCTAAGATTTCAAGAGATTAGTTAAAGTATGTGTAAATTGATCAGAAGACTTCCGATCATTAAAACAAATAAAAAAAAAAAAAGTATTGGATAATGGTAGACTAGTTGATGAATTTGTGAGGTGACAGTAAAGAAGAAAGGGAAGGTGTAACTCAATGAAAGGGATATTTACTCCTTCCTAAGGACACCAGATGTTGTGTCACAGCTAATTGTTTCTTTTTCCTTTTTTATCATATCAATTATTAGGAAATTTGACTTCAATTTTTTAGTTGGATATGTTTTTTTCATTGAAAAATATTTTCAAGAAATATATACAGTAACACCAAGGATTATGACGGTGATTGTGTTTCAAGGAGCAATGAAGGTAACGGCATATCGTACATTTTGGGATGGGCAAAAGAAACCCGGCCCAATTTACCTGGGTTCCAGCCCAATTTGTCTTTGCCTAGATGAGTTTATAAGAAAATTAATACGAAAATTGGTATTAAATTCTAAAAAAAGTTTAAATAACTAGACAAATACTGCAATATTATAATGAATGGTGAAGAAGAGTATTCATAAATTATTGTACAATTTATTGAACGTCTCAAATGTTTTGTTTATCCACGCTTTTTAACCTAATCAAGAAAGTGTACGATCTCATTCATTAATCTAATATACGAAATCTTCTGTTATTCGATCAATCTATCTTGAAATATTAATGTTCAATTGCCAAAAAATTTGAACTCGTTGAATTTGATTAATGAATTTTAGATGATTTTATTTCTATACGCCGAATCACAACCATAAATCCTCATTGCTACTGCGATTGACTTGGTTAGGAAGGGTTATAGTGATAAATTTGCTTTATGTTAAGTACATTTGATTAAATACATTTAAGAAAACTTAAGAGATTGACTGACAGTCAAGAATATTTATTCTCTTCATCGACTTTTTGAATTGAACCATTTTGGGGTCAAGTACAACATCTATGGCTTTGCAGGATGTTCAATGAGCTTGTCCCGAGGATTAATTAAGATATACACATGGTGGCTCTGACACCCGGGTCATCAAACAAAAAAATACATTTAAGAATTATTTTTAATTAATAAATTTTACTTGAAAATAAGATTCACTCAAAAGTTTAACAGGTTCAGTTCAAATGATACTAAACTTATTTGTAAATTACACCACCATCCCCTTAAATATGATTTAATTACAATCACTCCCCTCGCGGGGCAAGGTACAACTCTCTAAAGCAGAAAGAACCCTCCCAAAGTACAACCCTCCAAAGGAGAAACATATCTACTTAGAGCTATATAAATGCTCAAACCAAAATAGGGTTTTGAGCTTGAAAATACACTCAGAGCCGTCTCCCAGCAGTTGCTGCAGAAAACCCTAAACTCGTTTGCTGCTGCACTCACCCAACCATGGCCGTCGGGTAAACAAACTGAAACTCGCCCCTATCTGTTTCTCGACACAATTACTCATTTGCATGAAGCAAATTCTCTCTTGCTGATTTTTTTTTCGTTGTTTTGGTTTTGTGCAGAAAGAACAAGAGGATTTCTAAGGGAAAGAAGGGAGGAAAGAAGAAGGCGTGAGTATTGTTTGCAACATTTATCTCAATCTACTTTCTCTTCTTTCAGATCCGTCGTTGTCTTCATGTTGTTGGTTTCTTATCCTCTGTTCTTGCAACAGGGCGGATCCATTTGCCAAGAAGGAATGGTATGACATCAAAGCTCCATCTGTTTTCAGTAACAGAAACGTTGGCAAGACTCTTGTTACCCGTACTCAGGGTACCAAGGTACTTTTCTTCCTTTTTGTTATGAATTTATATCAGTATTGTTTCCATTTCGTGTCTCGGCCTTAGCACAAAGTGTTTGGAGTGATAGTAATTGTTATTAGTTTATAATGGCTATTGGGTTTTAATGTTGATTGTTTATTGCAACTAGGGTTTTGCTGAACCATTTTCGATTTGTTAGAGTTGATATTGGTTGTGTTGTCTTTTGTTTTGTGTATTGTTAATCTCTTGTTAGAAGTTTGACCTAAAATTGATTTTGAGTGAAATGAAATGTATTCGTTTTGAGTCTTATCATCTAAAGACAATGTTTAATTTGTTAATAGATTGGTCTTAAGTTTTTTATTAGTCTTCATAATTTAGTACAGTTTTTAGTTTAGGCATATGATCTTCTAAGAATATTTTAGTTATGGTGCTGTAACATGCTAAAGAATGCCCTTGTTTTATCTGGTTTTGGTAATGCATGAAGTGCCATTTTTTAATGTGTTGATGTTTGTGTGTAATTATTGTAAATTTAACTACCTAGTTCATGATAACATCTCGTCATTTTGACAGATCGCCTCAGAAGGACTCAAGCATAGAGTTTTTGAGATATCACTAGGTGACCTTCAGGGTGAGGAGGAGCATGCTTACAGAAAAATCAGATTGAGAGCTGAAGATGTTCAAGGAAAGAATGTCCTCACCAATTTCTGGGTATGGTTGATTTTAAATGTTAAAATTTTCCTATGGCTTATCTAATTCATTGTTCCAATGAAATTATCTAAACATTAGCAATTTGATTTATTCAGGGGATGGACTTCACTACAGACAAATTGAGGTCGTTGGTAAAGAAGTGGCAAACGTTGATTGAAGCCTATGTGGATGTCAAAACAACTGACAACTACACCTTGAGGCTGTTCTGTATTGGGTTCACTAAAAGACGTCCAAACCAGGTTAAGAGGACTTGCTATGCACAATCCAGCCAAATTAGACAGGTAACTAACACCTGTACAAAATGTTTTGTGTTTATGTATAACCTGTGTTACAAGTATGTAGGGACTCAAAAGTATTGTTAGATGCTGATTTTATATGATTGCGTTGCATTTATGTGAGCAATGTTGATGGTACTCTTATCTTTTCAGATTCGCCGCAAGATGAGGGAGATCATGGTAGCACAGGCCGCATCTTGCGATCTTAAGGACCTTGTCCAAAAGTTCATTCCTGAAATGATTGGGCGAGAGATAGAGAAGGCAACTTCAAGCATCTATCCTTTGCAAAATGTTTTCATCCGCAAAGTGAAGATACTGAAAGCTCCCAAGTTTGATCTTGGGAAGTTGATGGAGGTAATGTTTCTTGCCCTCTCTGGCTTGCTACATTGTAAAACACCCAGGACCATGCATTTGATGTTTCAAATTCAACTATATTGAAGTTGATTGGTATAAAAGATGGGTACTTAGATTTTTTTGGTTGCAAAGTGATGCACCTGCATTTATTTTAAATAATCCCATTGCATTGTCAGAAAGGACCCATAATTTTTTATATAAAGTTGGTATAATTTTGATTTATGATTTACCTTGTCCGTTCAATTTAGGTTCATGGTGATTATTCAGAGGATGTTGGCGTGAAGATGGAGAGGCCTGCTGAGGAGACAGTGGTCGAAGGTGCTACTGAAGTAATTGGAGCTTAAATGAAGATTCTTTCTCATGTCTTTTAACTATGTTCCAGTTTTAAGAATTTTTGAGCATTTTTATTTGAAAACTTGAATATGTTTTAAGTTGCACATTTGTTCTAGCTGAGATGTTTACAATGGTTGTTATGTTATTTACATGCTTCTGTGCATTAGTGTAGGAGACAATTTTTGGTCCAAACCCCGTTTCAAAGAAAGGTGTAGCCTTATATTTTGTTATTGAACATCATAAGATCCTTTGCCTAAATCTTTCTGATGCTTGGTCGCGCCCGACATTTCCATTCTCTCGACGTTTGAGTTATGTGATGAAATTTAATTTCTGGGATAATCTTTACTGGTTTGAATTTGTCATTAGTTCTTAGTTGGTGATCCGTCTTACAGAGGTTATAACTGAAGCTAATGGAATTAATCTAAAGGCAAAAGTAATGTTGATTGATAAACTCTTAAAGTAATAAGTTGTAATAGTGGATTGTATTTTGCAACTTACAATGTATTACACTAATTTGGTTGCGTAAAATGATAATGTGTTACCTGAGCCATTGGGACTGACGGTTTTTCTTTTGAGAGATCAGAGGCATTTATCGTTAATGTTCTTCAATATTTGCGTACCGTACTAAAAGTAAATAAATGTGATGTTTGATACAGCATTCTTTTTTATGGAATTTACTTCGTAATTTTCAACTATAATAATTAAGCTGCCATCTCTTTTATCATTTTGTGAATTTATACAACTTCTTTAAAGGCTCTCTTTGTTGAAATGCAAATGGAAAGAAAAAGGGACGATCGAAATCATCATTATGTGGTAAATTACAAGATGACCATCTATGTGGAAGTGCTACTCAACAATGGAATGGAGAGTGTTCCTATTTTTACTCAACAATGGCATGGATGGGTTCACAATATATTGCTTTTGAAAGCCAGTTCATTTATAAAACAAAGTGCGATTGGAACGTGAAGAAGGAGATACTAAAAAACAAATTATTAGTGTGGAAAGAGATAGGATACCTTAGATAGGGCTCTGGAGTTGAAGTTAATACCAATGTTTTGAAACCTAACCTGAGGTGAAACCCGGCAAAGTTGCTGGGTCTCGGGTTGACCGGTTTAACTGGTTTGACCGGCAGTCAAATCGGTTCACAAAAACTTCTAAAATTTAACAAATACATCCCTAAAAATTATGTTAAGTCCATATACATTTAAAATTTAGCAAACACACCCCAAATACAAATCGGTTGGCGATTGGTTGGCGACGGTGACACCCCAGATGCAACCCCAATCGTCCCTTGAGCCAATTCCCCTTAAAATATACCTAAGATCTGGTCAAAATAGNGTGCATTAGTGTAGGAGACAATTTTTGGTCCAAACTCCGTTTCAAAGAAAGGTGTAGCCTTATATTTTGTTATTGAACATCATAAGATCCTTTGCCTAAATCTTTCTGATGCTTGGTCGCGCCCGACATTTCCATTCTCTCGACGTTTGAGTTATGTGATGAAATTTAATTTCTGGGATAATCTTTACTGGTTTGAATTTGTCATTAGTTCTTAGTTGGTAATCCGTCTTACAGAGGTTATAACTGAAGCTAATTGAATTAATTTGAAGGCAAAAGTAATGTTGATTGATAAACTCTAATGTAATAAGTTGTAATGGTGGATTGTATTTTGCAACTTACAATGTGTTACACTAATTCGGTTGCCTAAAATGAGATCAGATGCATTCTTTATCGTTAATGTTCTTCAATATTTGCGTACCGTACTAAAAGTAAATAAATGTGATGTTTGATACAGCATTCTTTTTTATGGAATTTACTTCGTAATTTTCAACTATAATAATTAAGCTGCCATCTCTTTTATCATTTTGTGAATTTATACAACTTCTTTAAAGGCTCTCTTTGTTGAAATGCAAATGGAGAGAAAAAGGGACGATCGAAATCATCATTTTGTGGTAAATTACAAGATGACCATCTATGTGGAAGTGCTACTCAACAATGGAATGGAGAGTGTTCCTATTTTTACTCAACAATGGCATGGATGGGTTCACAATATATTGCTTTTGAAAGCCAGTTCATTTATAAAACAAAGTGCGATTGGAATGCGAAGAAGGAGATACTAAAAAACAAATTATTAGTGTGGAATGAGATAAGATACCTTAGACAAGGCTCCGGAGTTGAAGTTAATACCAATGTTTTGAAACCCAACCTGAGGTGAAACCCGGCAAAGTTGCCAGGTCTTGGGTTGACCGGTTTAACTGGTTTGACCGATAGTCAAACCGGTTGATAAAAACTTCTAAAATTTAGCAAATATATCCCTAAAAATTTGTTAAGTCCCTATAGTTTGAAATTTAAAAACCACACCCTAAATACAAATCGGTCAGCGATTGGTTGGTGGCGGTGACACCCTAGATGCAACCCCAATCATCCCTTGAGCCCATTCCCCTTAAAATATACCTAAGATCTAGTCGAAATAGGTTCGATTTTGGCCAGATCTCACCGACGTCGGCGTCGGCATCGACATCAACATTCTAGGCTAGATCTCATCGACGCCGGCTTCGACAACCCTCTTCATCACCAAGAAATTAGTCCCCTCTTCCTCCCTACCAAAACCCACCTTACCTTACCCCCGTTAGCCTCGCCAATTGCTAACAAAAGCCAGTTGTTGCCATTGCCAGTTTTGTTTGATTTTTGATCGATTTACTCACCAAAATTAACTCTGTCACCACCATTGCATTCACCGGCACTTTATCATCAAAATCCCTAACATCCCGGCCGTCAATTGTCCGTCGATCATCCTCCCAAATCTTAGGGTTTTTGGTGAATAGGAAAAATATAAACCCGGCCCGTTGAAGCTTTCTGGTCCCAGTTAAACCAGCCGGGCCAAGCCAGGTTTTAAAACATTGGGCAATATTGATAATATAGACTATGACATGGCTTTGGGTTCAAATCCTTTAGGAAAACTAAGAAATGAAGCGGGATTCATCTCCAGATAAAACTGGAGGTTGCAAGGATAACCTATTAAAATTGTCACGCCCCCTCCCTGATAGTCCCTATCCCATTGGATCCGGGCGCTCCAAGGGTCCCAAGAACTCGAGAGGAAGGTGAATAAATCACAAAGTCATTTATAAAAATCCATTTATTATAACATAAGTTAAGTAAAATAGTTATCCATGCCCGTACAAAGAATCCCTGGAACGCAAATGCAGAAAGTCAATTACAAAACATAGTATCAGAGCACACTAAATGAACACACATCATGAGGTAGAACATGCATCCATAGGCCAACCTAGAGCTTACAAGTAGCTCTGCACGAACCGTGTAGTAAACCCTGGGGGGAGAAAACATAAAACAGTGAGCTGGGAAGCCCAATGAGTGGATAATACATTTATAAAGAAAATACTTGTAAATGAAAATATATTTCATGATAAAGTTTGATGAATGTTACACAGCCACTGATCCATATATGTACTCATACTCACCACCACCATACTAGTACCCAGGGGACCAGGAATCACAACTCTAAAGTAAAGGTCCCTAATACGGACAATCCACTAGGCCACCCACAGTCTATCTCGAGGTGGCACCATCCACAGTCTATCCTTAGGATGGCCGAAATCATCCTGGGATAGCCATACTCGACCTATAGTCTATCCTCGAGGTGTCATGATATAGCATCCCATTGTAAAATCCCGCACACGGTCTATCCTCGGGGTGTCAAACTGTTTGGAGCTCGTCAGGCGCTCGTCCTGTCCTAGTAGGATGGTCCAAGCTCATCGTCGTTCGGTAGTACAGGCCATCTCTATGTGCACATGAAGTCAAATAATATCGCTAGCCAAAGTCTAGAGGAGATGGATACTCCCGCAAGGTTGTCTCTAATCTAATTCATCGAACACAACCATATATATCTATATCTATATATTATTAATAGATCTATATATATATATATTTATATATATATAATGTAACGTATAATTAAAATCGACGTGTGAAAATGAATGCGGTGTTTGTGATGTTGAAAAATATGCATCAAGTAAAGTGTTCATTTACTCCCCAAATTTATTAGTTATTCATTCAACCCTTCACTTTTAAATCTTTGCAATTTACCCCTTATCTACATGACAGGTTTCAAAAGTTATAAATTACCTCCTGAATTCTTCGCCGTGGTGAGGAAATTCTTCGTTGCAGCGAAGTTCTCCCGAAAGCTCCCAGAACATTCCAGGAGCTACCTCGCCGTGGCGAGAATTCTCTTCGTCGCGGTGAGAACCAAATTTTTCACAAATCTGGGTTTCTTCTCCACCCAGCCGTGTTTTCTCTCAACCTTTTTCTATTCTCTTCAATTTTTCCACACCTTAAATACACTTCGACACACCCATATACATGCAATGAATCATCCTAAACATACAATACACACAAAACACCCAATTTCGGGATCTCCATGATCCCATAACTCAACCCATAATTCCAACTCTCTCTACAACTCTCAACTCCTCCACAACCCACACAAACAAACCAACCCTTCCAAAAATGGTTGGATTTTCCATTCAACTACACCAATCACACACATATAATACACCCATGATCAACACACAAAATGATTTTTCCAAAGTATGATTTTAATGCAATATATAATATTCCACTCACCAATTCTTCCTCCTTAGCTTAGGTGCTCAAATCCTTGTTCCTCTTCACCTATTGTCCCAAAATCAACCCACCATTAGTTACTCCTTAATATTAAAGATAGAAAAACAGAAAATGTTGAAGTTTAGGATGAAATGCATGCATGAACTATACTTTTCTTGAATAATTTTTAGATGTTTTTCCCCTATTTTCTCTCCTTTCTCTTCCTCTCTTCTTCTTCTTTTTCTTCCTCTTCTGCCGATTTACCCAAAATGAGAGAACCCTAACTCTTTTATGCTAATTGAAAATTTTCAATTTAGTCCTCCATCTTTTCGATTATGACACCTTCCTCCTTCAAGGTTTCAATTCCATACACTTTGCCCCCTAATTTACAAAGAAAACTTCTTAATGAAATTAACAAAAATTACGGGGTAGCACAAAAATCCTCTTTCTAATTCCCATTGTGAAAACACTAAAAAGAGAGTAACTCTTTGGAAGTAGAGAATCGATTTTATTGAGATGTGGATATTGTAATTTCTTTAAAATTGAAATATGACTTCTGTTGTGGGAGAATGACATTTTCTCACCCACAAGTTGGCAAAACGACACTTTCCCACCCT